AAAGAACTTTTCTAATAGTCTCTTCTAGGTATTGACAAAACTCTGTTAGATGTTCAATCTCATCTGCATCTTCCATTTCTCCACTAGCAACGAATCGCCATTGTAACTTCGGTATTACTGTGTACATCGTCCATTTAGTTGTATATATCGAGGAATTTTCTTTGCATAGCATTAGAAATACATCCATGTATTCAATAAATTTTGGCGCTGTGATAGATTTTCCAACCGAGCTTTATTTTAACGAGATAGAATTTGAATTACGGACCATTATTATTACAAAACTCGAAAGAGAAACTGAATTCGAAAAACTTTAAGCGACTATTACTAGCACTGGTATCAAGAAAGTAGCGCATCGACCGGCAGACTTTTCTTTTCAAAGTCTTGTTATAAAGCCATGAGTCTGTCCTGAAATATATCCAATAATAAGGGACGAATTCTTTTCCAGACTTCCATCATTCCTTAGCGTCATAAAAGATCGAAATGGTGGGCTGCTGGAAAAAGTACGACTTCAAGTGCTTAGATGCTGAAACGAGTTAAATAGGGAAGATCAAGATGTCTGATTCTCACACTTATTCAAGCGGAAGTGCAACAACTATTGTGTGATGTGGTGGTGAGCAATAGGATAATTGTTATGCGCTCATGAGAAAACGACTTCGCTCGTGTCGTGAGGTCATCAGCCGAAACCGTACTGCGTCGATCTGAGGGACGAACGGATGGTCGTGGGGGTGGACAAACAGACGACTGACCCACGTCGCGTTCAGTTCATCTACGTTGTCATCTCCGCCCTCAACAGTGTTTTTTCGCTCACTGATGATCTCACATAATCACATCTCTGTTTTTTTGATTTTCTTTCGTCATAGAGCCTGTCAGTCTGCTTGATTCTAACTTAATTCGTCTTCGTCCTACGGCAGTTTCCGCAATCACATCCATCTCTAACAGCACACGTCAAACGTTGCCTGTCATTTTTTTTCTTCGTGTTTTTATCCTTATGTGAGGCAATCAAACGTTACCGAGATTGTCGGTCATTCTCCTACTAGTTGAACACATGTTGTTGTGATTGCTTTACATCGTATTCTCTGCTTAAACAATGAATACAATTCATTTTAGCCAACTGCGTATTTTTCTTAGGTGTAGTCTATCTTAAATGCAATTCATGAGGTCGTTAGAAACAGTCGCACAACAACGGCACTTTTTTCGTAGTCAGCGGGTTCATTAATAATTTAGAAGGCTTGTTTCTTATTTGAAAGCAGAAGTCGAATAACTGCGTGCACTCCAGAAGTACGTCATTGTATTACACTCTAAACATTTGAAAACGTGAAAATAGTAAGAAAATAACGAATTAAGTAAATATGCGGACAGACGGATAGAGTAGAAGCGTTAGAGATTTAGGTGTCGATCATTCCCTTGTGAACACGCATGCATTCCACTCTATTCGTAACATCACTGAACCGACTTAATGCACATTTGGCCTATACAAGGACTTCCGAAAACTTACTGATGTATCACATCAACAGATTTTATTCTTCCAGGCAAGTCTAGCACCAATTTTCCCACTGCGGACGTATGGAGGGCATGGTTTGCCCTTAGCACGGGGTCGAACCTCTCCAAGCACTAAGTTGCACAAGCTCCTTTTATAAATCATAGAAAACAGATGTCTCAAAATGCCATCGCACTTAGTGGCAATTGTATCAGATAAATCCGTTTTGCTGATGTTTACCGTTGTGGAGAACGCATAGAAGGAAGTATTATTGCATATGGTGTTTTTCACACGACCATACACGACATGTTGCGCGGATCCCAACACTTCTTACATTCGTGGATTCGAGGAACCAGTTGATCCTACACAAGTCTTCTACCACTTCTACCCAGTCTTCTACCAAACTCAAATGGAGAGGCATTTTGGCTGACCGAGGAGAGGGTGAACCAGAGGCTTGAACATAGTTAATGGTATGATCACTGTTGCACTACACATGTAACTCCCATGTGATTTTTTCGGATTCACTTAATTGTCAAAGACTTGGTATAAGGGAAAATTATTCTATGCAAAAGATTTGATTAGTTGGAACACTTGCAAAGGTTTGTTAGCGTGTTGTTTAAATCACGTTTCGTGTTCCTTCTTATTCCTTAAGGGTTAAATATTCTATTCTAAATGGCTTATCTTTACTAAAATTATAGGCTCCAGCAACGCAGCAACGTTTTCATTTAATTGCCACTGTTTTCTGACCGGTGATTTTCTGGCAGAACAAGCTTTCTTTTCGTGAAGTCTCCAGATCATTTTCTAGGGTTTTGTAGTGTCATATTAGCAACTGCTGGCCGATGTGAACTGGTGGGAGACTTAGCACTTTGGTATTATACTGATATCAAGTTGGGGTAATTCCTGCCATTAGTTTCCTCTTATCTGTGCTTTCGAATGAAAATTTCTAAATTCTTCCCAGCTTGTGAAGTCACTTTTGGGGATGGATCGTAGTTCGACACCCAGAATGCCGTAGAGCGACAATAAGTTGTTAAACCATTCTAGAGATTTTCTAGCTCATAATCAATTCAATTCCTGAGAAATTCGCGCATGCCGACTAAATTGGTGCCTTCCATTGATTTGACATCTACTGGTTACTCATTTCGAACTATAGGGCTTTCATTTACGGTAGGACATTCCTTGGTGGGAAAATTCACACCTCTTTGTTCAGCGTTACAGTACTTGCGGGTGTGAGCTATACCTGCTGTGCGATTAGCACGCCGTTGGCGATGTTAATGATGATGGTTGCGCTTTGTCAATCTTTGAAGTGTTCGCTAACAAAGCACGAAACAATTAATAGTTCTACAACATCGATTATCTAGGCAGCAATTCTAATTCAGAACCTCTCTCGGATGCGAACATTTAATGTTGTTCCTGTTGTAAATGAGAAAACAATAGTGTTCATCATCTACCGCCAAGCTTACTATCAAGCCAGCGCTAGTAGAGTCTCAAACAATCTCAGCCGCGTGCCACAAATGCTCATTAAGCTGTTCCCGTTTAGAGGACATGAAAAGCATCATATTCTTCACTTGAGGTATTCATGACAATTTCTAATCATTGAGCAAAAACTGTTCAGTTCTTCTGAAACATATTTAGATTTAATGCATGAGTTTCGCCTCCAGACTGTGCTGGATTGGAATACACTTTCCATTAGTATTCTATGTAAGCACATCTGTGCATGCCTCCGTGGGCGGCGGATTGTTTATGCAATTCTGACGACAAACTATCCATAGATACATAACCTTTCGCTAGGAACATTTAGGAAGAGATAGCTCTGTGAGAAAAATATAATGCAGAGAGCAAATCGCCCTTATGTGACGTTGGTGTGTGACAAGGACAAAAACAGAGTCTCCGTAGTTATCCCAGTCACTTAATGATTAACGATATACGGTGATACAGTTGATAGCTGTTTGTATTAATGGTGCTCACCGGCATTGGAAATCGACAAATAAAATCGCTGTTACGCAAAGAAGTAGTTATGACCGAAGTGACGACGTGAACAACATAAAAACTATTGGAAAAGCACAACAACGATAGAGAAAGCTCAATATATTTGAGGAAATCGATAAATTCAAAAATTACCAATGTTGAAGGCCACTTAACATTCGTGGGAAAAAATGAAGAATAAAGCGCATGATATTGACTCGTTTCTCACGAACGAGCCATCTCTGTTAGACATTCAACTCTGTTAGACATCGTAAGTAGTTCAGTGAATATTTGCTCCAGGAAATGACTTGTGCGGGCATGATGTATAAAGTTAGTGCTCCAAGAAATGTTCGGTGCCAACTTTGCGACCGCGAATGATGGAGAAATTAGTTAGGCCAGATAGTAGTTCGAAGCAACGATCTTGCAAGACCCATATAACCTCCGCACTACACTTTTTCACCATCTAAAAAACATACGTTATGTATGGAAAACTCATAAAGGATATGAGATTTGAGGCCCTTCAAATGATGGAATTGTAGTTCTCTAACTGCAAATCTATAAAAGCGAAGTTTTCCCAAGAAAGTTTGTCTTCTCATAAGTGTCTTTATAGTCGAACGCACTATCAGAATATTTACATCATCCTTATGAATACAAAGAGTGAATAGTTATAAGTGAACTATTAAAAGTGTGGAGGTAATTTTCAAGAAACTCAGCTCCTTTCTTGTTCTCTGTGTGGACCTGGATAGTCGACCCATGTGTTTTTTCGCACTTTGGTACCAATAGCTGCCAGATTATGGGAGGTGCGTTGTTTCTCATGAATACGAATACTTAGCAACACATCCAGTAACAAGTGTTTTCCCTCTAGTACGTAACAAGTGCAAGGCTGTCTGGGAAACGTACATTCTCACTAGTGGGCGGGAATGATGTCACCATGTATATGTAAGCTGAAACACTCAAAAGACTAGCCTATATCCATATGAACCATAATGGTCGTTACGTCATCATTCTCCTTCAATTGTCCTTAATTTCCTAATTCTTTGAGAATTTATCTTTAACACCTCGATATTAAGTTCCATCAATCTGGAGTTGAACATAAGCAGCATGCCTAATTTTGAAAAGACTAAAAGATAGAGCGTGAAGCATTCGGCGTTGATCTTAAAGATGTGCCCTAAATAAAGCACCGCCTAACAGCCTGCTGTCATATCACTTATTCTTTCTGCGTTTTTACCGTTGCAGACAAGTGTGGTACCAATTTACTGGTTACAGATCGATGGATGACTTCGTTTGCCGGGTGCTCGGGATCGAACCAGTAATCATGTGTATGTATACTGCAGTGCACCTTAAACCACTAACACATGCTAGTATTTAATTCACTATACTCTACTCCACTGTTAATAATTTTTCTCGTTTTCTTTCTAAACAGCTTTACTGCTACATTTTTCTCATTATGGTCAACTTTGTTTCTTCATGTCTTCTATGTTTTTTTAGAAGTTTCTTTGGCGTTTTTCTTTTTTCGTTTCTCCTATTTGGTTTCTCTATAGCAAGGAAAAAAGTTTTCCAGATGAACATGAGCCGAACACGTTCCGTTTTCCGACTTGCCAAGAGGAAACTTCTTGAATGTCAAGGTATATTGAAACGAGCTGGGAATAATAAAGTGCCAGCGTCATCGAATATCATGCTTGACGAGCCAGTTCTGGAAGAAATTCTCAGGAAACTCGACGTTAAGGATCGTGTGATGTTGAGAGGCGTGAGTATTCCAGAAATCTCATTCGAGATTTTGATGGGCGGCTAATCTATGCCGATTGGTGTGAACGACCATAAAGAACTTAACGTCTACGAAGCGTAATCTGCTATCACTCATTATCGCCCACTGTCGCTCATTGTCGCTCTTTGTCGCTCTCTGTCGCCTCATATCGCTTCTCAATTTTCTTTCATTACGAATCTAGTAAATGTTATGATGACACTTTTTTGACGCTTATTCTGAATTATCATTGACTTAACTTTCGAAGCAATGCGTTAGAAGAGTTTTTCCGTTGGATTAAGAGAAAAAATGAAAATTACTACCACAGTGAGCAATGATATGCCAAGTGCTACTTTGTAAAGCGTTGTTTTAAATATTTGAGAGTATTGTACGTCCATTAGTTTTCTATCATTCGCCACCTATCATTGATTTAGGTTTCACCTCAAATACATCAATTGGTCGATCGTTTACCACTAATATTGCCGTTTGTCTTCATTCGATCGGATAGTCGTGGAAATATTGAGTTGCACTGTGACCATATCGACGTTCTGATAGGTGATAAAGATCGGTTAAAGGACAAAAGTAGAAGGAAAATAAAGCTATCATGACGTTTAAACGCTAAATCAGTCGCATAGTTACTCAAATATAAGGACAATTTGACTTAAATCACTATCGCTTCTTTTTTGCTTGGGTGACTACTGATGACATTGATCGATAGAAAACTAGCTGAGGGGCGGCAAGCGAAACGAAGGACCCGCATGGTGTCGTAGTGAACGCGTTAGCCACCGGAAAGGGTAATAGCGCGTTCGTTCCCCACCGTAGGCACCTGCGGTCTGGAACTCTGCAAATATCTCAGCATCATTGTGATTGTATTTCGCTTCATAGCCAGCCATAAAAGGGGGCGTGTGGTGCAGTGGTCGGAGGGGCCCTGCAACTCACACTTCCATCCCTGCGGGGTCGGTAAATTGGTACCAGATTTGTCAGGGAGGATAGCAGCAGTGGCTCGATACATCGGTAGGCCACCGCGAGTTATTGTAAAGGCCAGTTACGCATTCAATCACCTTCAAACGATGGTTAATGAAATCGGATTCATGGCGCATCCATCAGGGATTGATCAACGTCGAGAGTTTTTAATTTATTATTTACTGCCTACTTTTTTTAACACCAGAGTATATATTGCGAAATATAACTCTAATAATGCTGAGATATAACTCGTACATAATGCTGAGATAAAATCTTAACTCTTTTATTTACTGCCTTTTTTAATGGCAGGGTATGTTGCGAAATATAACTCGTATATAATGCTGAGATATTTGCAAAACTCCGGACCGCAGGTGTATGCGGTGGGGAACGAACAGGCGCTCTTGTCCTTACCGGAGAGCAGCGCACTTCACCACCACACCATTCGGGTCCTTCGTTTTGCCTGTCTCTCAGCTAACATAAAGCATACCCTGCTATTGAAAAGAAAAAAAGGCAGTAAATAAAAGGGTTAAGATTGTGATTATAACTAAGTCTCAGCCTAACTGGGTTCACTGCCGATTTGGGCTCCCCAGATCAATCTCGTTGACGGGTGATTGCTGATGCAAAAGATCAATAGAACTAGCTGACAGACAGGCAAAACGAAGAACCCGGATGGTGTGCTGGTGAAGTGCGCTACTCCCCGGAAAGGACAATAGCGCGTTCGTTCCCCATCGCATACACCTGCGGTCCGGAGTTTTGCAAATATCTCAGCATCATTAGAGTTATATTTCGCAATATATACCCTNATGCAAAAGATCAATAGAACTAGCTGACAGACAGGCAAAACGAAGAACCCGGATGGTGTGCTGGTGAAGTGCGCTACTCCCCGGAAAGGACAATAGCGCGTTCGTTCCCCATCGCATACACCTGCGGTCCGGAGTTTTGCAAATATCTCAGCATTATATACGAGTTGTATCGCCAATGTTTGCCTTTGAAAAGTTTAAAATTTTAACAGCAGGGTATATATTGCGAAATATAACTCTAATGATGCTGAGATATTTGCAAAACTCCGGACCGCATGTGTCTGCGGCGAGGAACAAACACGCGCTATTGTCCTTACCGGGGAGTAGCGCACTTCACCAGCACACCATCCGGGTTCTTCGTTTTGCCTGTCTCTCAGCTAGTTCTATTGATCTTTTCCATCAGCAATCACCCGTCAACTAGATTGATCTGGGGAGCCCAAATCGGCACTGAACCCAGTTAAGCTGAGGCTTAGTTATAATCACAATCTTAACCCTTTTATTTACTGCCTTTTTCTTTTTAATGGTAGTGTATGCTTTATGTTAGCTGAGAGACAGGCAAAACGAAGGACCCGAATGGTGTGGTGGTGAAGTGCGCTAATCCTCGGAAAGGACAATAGCGCGCGTTCGTTCCCCACCGCATACACCTGCGGTCCGGAGTTTTGCCAAAATCTCAGCATTATATACGAGTTATATTTCGCAACATACCCTGCCAAAGGCAGTAAATGAAAGGGTTAAGATTGATGCTGGGATATTTGCAAAACTTCGGACCGCAGGTGTCTGCGGCAAGGAACAAACGCGCGCTATTGTCCTTACCGGGGAGTAACCTTACCGCTATTCCTCCTAACGGGTGGTTGCTGATGGCAAAAGATCAATAGAACTAGCTGAGAGACAGGCGAAACGAAGGACCAGCATGGTGTGGTGATGAACGCGTTACTTCCCGGAAATGACAACAGCGCGTTCGTTCCCCACCGCAGACACCTGCGGTACCGAGTTTTGCAAATATCTCAGCATCATTAGCGTCGAGAGTTTTATCCTTTTTAACCTGGAGCGAAAAATTGTACTAGGCAGCAAATAAAAAGTAAACACTCTTTATTGAGATATAAGATGAATCTACGAAAATACGAGGTATCTACGTAACGTACGAAAGTTCGGTATTCGAATAGAACTTGAAAAGTATCATTTACTGCTCAGTTATTGTAAAACAAAAGAAAAGTGTTATCGCTTAGATTACATACTTGTCGACGTTCCTGGTTTTAAAGTCCATGACGGAGTGATGGTGTTCAACTACAGTGACACGCGAACGATAATCGCATCAATTGGTTGGTTTTGGCTCGAATATCTCAACGAATTCTTGAAGTGCTCCTTATTACAATTCACGATAATGTGCAGCTTCTATTATGACGTAGCACTTTGTTAATTACATGTATACGCGACTTGTTCTGAGGCGTTTTTTCCCCGAACATCAAAATACCGTCATCACATGCAAGTCGTTTTTCCCAACTAGGAGCTAAAAATTTACTGAATTTCTGAACTCTTTACAGTTCATTTTGATCATTGACATGATGAGTTTAGTGTCACGAATCACTGGAATTGCTCATTTATGGCTGGACTCTACATGGAACGGTCACATCGTGCAGACAATTGTTGAATATTATCAGGCAATCAATCATGATAACAAAAGAAAGAGGTGTTGATTTACGATCCATATCGATTATTTTCGGGATTACTGTATAATATTAGTATATTTATGGAGAATTCTAGCATTTAACAGGTTTCATCTGGAACAACTTACAATCATTGGCAGCATCAGATTCAGTGATATTGACTGGGTGAGTGTGGTCGTTAAGGAGTTTATGAAGTTTCTTTATTCATGAGAGCTAACGAACAAAAACAAAAACCATGGAATGGTGCTGTTCATTTATAACTTTGCTTAAAGCCGTCTACTCAGTAAAAAATAATAATATATCAGAGTCCACTCTTACGATTTACTTCAAAGAAGCTTTTTATCCGAACTTTGTTCAAGAACATTTATTCCATTCTGGTTTGTTCCCAGTCGTTATACCCAGGTCTATTAACTAAGGAATAACTGTTTAATCTTGATAGTTCATAGGTCTCGTCGCTGATTCTGCTCTCACGTCGCTCATTGTCGCATATTCGATTTCGTCACTGTCGTGTACACTCGCAGCAGCAAACAGTACAATTATGGACTGCTGTGATGCAGTGCCAGTCCTTGAGCGCATTGCAGTACGAGCCGTGTCGTCTCGACAGATGGAGCCGACCACATCTCGTCGACGCACTCACTAACAAACCTCTTAAGTAAGTTCATTTGTTCGGTTATCGAAATAGAATCGCAGTTGGCTGCCGTCCGTCCATTCGCTACGTGGTTCGTCATGGTTAATTGTACTGGAAGGATAGTATTTATTTGGAAGAAAAGTTTAATGGTCACTGCAAGCGAGGCCATTTGAGAAGTGGTATTTCGAATGAGGCTGAATACGTTTAGGAAACACCGCTCTCCTAGGGAATATTGCACTGTCACCCATTTAGAGTCAAACTCTTTTGTACCTTCTCTGTTCGATTAGAAATCATCTCTGCTACCTAACAATAATTCCTGTGCACGATTCTCCCTCATTCAGATCCTTGATTCTGACTGGCATAGATGGTTTACAACCGAAGGATCTGTTTCGAATGACGAATGGGGCACGTTTAGAAGAGCTGGCTGTGGTTGGAGAGTTGATAACGCCATCAAGTTTTGATCACAAGGAGGCAAGCGCGATGTTGGGAACCGTTAATAGCCTTCTAATACAGGTAGGGTTACATAAATAGCTGGTAAAATATGACTGACACTTTTTCATAGTGTATAAACGTCTGCCAAGGCTGCTTCTATTCAACGTTGTGCCCAAGCTCTTCTTACTTGATACTTTAACACTTCAACGGCCCGTCCTCACTGGTTGCGCGGGCCTCAGCATAACCTCCATTTTTCGGAGATTTACTGGTTGAGCCATTGTGGTTGCCTGGATTCCTGAACTCAGCCTGGCCAAAGTCTTCCCTAGGTCTTCACCACTACAGGCAGTCGCAGCTCTTGTGGATCAGAGGGAGATTTGTCACCATGCGACTTTAATACCAGGACGGTGGTGGATCCTGGTATTGGTTTACTCTTAGCTAGGCTTCTTGATGGAAAACGCTGAACTCATTCTCAGCCTGGGAGACCCTGCCAGGAGGATGAATTCCTCTGCTGTAGATCACAGTTCGACACCCAGGAACACCTCCCAGCCACGATGGGGCGGTAAGCTGTTGGGAGGCAAGTTCCAGAGATCCAAGCTTTTCTATGTGTACTAAATAACAAGGAAGCAAACAAAGACGTTAATTAGAAATTCTGTAGTAATAATTTTGATATTATGTTTATTTTTTCCATAGTGATATTTGAATGTGTGGACAAATATTTAGGTAATATAAGTCTAGGTGAATTCAACATTCTCAATCCACGATGCCTCCGAACGTGCAGCAATTTTACGAATGATGTCATCGTTGCCTGCTACTGGTGTACTCGAAGTGATCCATATCAGTCGCGGAACGGTCACGGACACCACCAAGGTGATCAGTTACTGGATTCAGCTTGCTAGGTAAGTATGCTTCATATCTTGCTAACTTCATGCACCACTAAAATTGCTCGTTACTTTGACTGTGATGTGAATCCGTCGAAATACAGACAACCGAGTAAAATCATTTGCGACTGGGCCGCTGAAAGGATAAGACACTCGGCGTACATCAATCCTTTAGGAATCCGCCATGCATTCGACTTCATTGACCATCGTTTAGAAGTGATTGAATGCATATCTGCCCTTTAGAATGATTCGCGGTGGCCCACCGATGTGTCGAGCCACTGCTTCTATCCTCCCAGGCAAGTCTGGTACCAATTTGCCGACTCCGGAGGGATGGAGAGCTTTGTGGGCCAACGATCGGGGCGAGGGAATCGATTCCACTTGTGTTGCAAAGCGCTTCCGACCACTGCGCCACACGTGCCTCTACTGGGCCGATAATAAACTGTAGCCAACTGCACGCAGAGAAATGAAATACCATTTGTAACTATGAAATGTGGATAAGTTTGCTTCAAAAGTCAACTGAATGTGCTAAGATCGAGCAACTTCAAAAAGTCTACAATAATTGGTGAGAAAATAGCCTTAATTTTGAAACGAACTTCAAAATTGCTCCATTTTTTTTAGTAAACACTGTGAAATTTTTAATAGTAATTACGACACTGCGAGTTGAAAATCTATCTTAAACCGTATTCAAATTTCTTCTGCTGACGGTACTGCTATTTCATCGACTGAACTGATATCTTTTCAGAGATTCATCACGTGAGGTGAAATTGAAATTGGAAGAATGTTCACAGGAACGCGCCGACGCTGCTGTCGGACGCCTTCTGCGAAAAGTTCGTGGAGTAGGACGTAGCGAGTGGACTAAAGGAGGAGTAGCTATGCAAATGGGTGACGGCCGATTGACGGTACTGGACAAGAAGGCGTGGTTCGGTGATGATCAGTAAGCTGTCAAAGTTGAAATAACCGTAGCAGAGGTCAGGCTTATCGACGGTTGCTTAATGTTCCGTTAAAATGTTGACCTAATGATCCTCTTTGGGTACCATTGCTCTCGTGAGCGACTAGTTCTGTGATTCCTAGCTTCGCTTGCTTTATCACGTGTCGTTCATTGGTGGTGTTAATCTCATTAAACGTCCAACGTGTATAACACCTTTCACAGTGACACTTTCTTTTATTCAATCAATAACCGCGAGTCTGTCCTCGCGTGTAGCTCCTGTTTTTTCGCATGATATTAGTAATTCCAGCCCATTAACGGATATTATGTTCTATTACAACGAGTTTATCTGCCTTACTTTCTAGTAGACCGCTTCTCACGCATGGGTTTTATTTTCGTCTCGTGTTTAAATCGTTCTCCACATTTCTACATACGGGTAGACACATTCGTGTCAAGTGTTCAATTTTCTCTAATAAACAGTTGCTTCATATTCTGACTTCTGCACTGAGAATACGATTAATCCCACTCGCAAGAATCCGTAGAAATTCGTAGAAAGAATTATGGATCAATAGTGGTATAACGGCTAGTGGAATTCGCATAGTTGGCTAGAAACTTATTAGCGCCTTTTCATCGGAAACAGTAAAAAAATAAATATACTTCTCTCGAAATGTGATACTCGTCGTGTCGATTACATCATGTGCGGAGCTCATGGTGGCGCTCTACAGCGTGATGAAGCCAGTGAACGGGGAGGGTATTGGTTCTTCTACGGTTCTTGTTTGAGTTATTCGACAGGTAACAGATTAATCGGCTATATAGGAGATAAAAGTAAAAGGATAAAAAAGACAAAGCTCTTGGCGTTGATCAATTTCTGAGGGATGCGTCATGCATTAGACTTCATTAACAATCGTTGGAGGTGACTGAATGCATATCTGGCCTTTACAATGACGCAGTGGCCTACTGATGTATCGAGCCTGTGCTGCTATTCTCTTAAACAAGCTTGGTAGCAGTTCGCCGACCCCGGATGGATGGAAGGCTTGGTGGACCATGGGTGCGGAGCTATTACAAGTGTGTGTTGCAGGGCGCCTTCGGCCACGCGCCACACGCTCCCATGGTGATAAAGGTAACAACGAAATATTTCTAGAAGTAGCTTGTGTACCAGTGCTGGGTGTGCCAATCGTGAATGTATGGTTGAAAATTAGGTCTCTGCAGCTAACAAGCCAAAGGTTGGTCGACGACATGTAGTGTTCCGCCTTTTGCAGGAAAAATAAAAACTTCTGGGTTTATTTATGCGTTTGCATGAGTAAGTTCCAAAATTTGCGAGATCTGGCATCATATATTGTGTACTCCATTCGTCCCATACATTCTTTAGCATGCATCATCCACCAAGTTCTTCCGATTTGTTTTGTGGTTAGGCCCCTGTTTAAGGGCTTTTCATCATCTTCATGAACGCTATTGATTGCTGGTCGAGTCCATTCTCACTGGAGTTTTGGAATGCCGCTCTTGTGCATTAGACAAACCTCGAATACAAATCATGTTTCAAGTTCACAACCTCAGAGGAGGCCTAATTGGCTCGAGAACGGATCGAACCAGAACGCTGCAGATGTTATTAAATGATCTACCCCTCCAAAATTTTCCTGAGACCAAATTTTCGGCAATATCGCCTTCTTGAAAGGTGGCGTCATTTTAGTTGATTGTCGATAGCTGTTAGTTCTCGCGATTTGGATCTTCGCATCCACTTATTGTCGAATGAAGTGCAGCACCGAAGGTTTTTAACCACAAGCAACCAATCAAAAATTTCATCGATCGTCTTAAAAAATTTATAGATAAGACGGAAATGTGACGAAGTACCGTTACTTTTCTTCTTTGGACTTTAACTAGTTTCGAAATCATTGGAATGATGATGAGGAGAAGATTCATAATCCACACAATCAAGCGACACCGCGGTAAACAAGAATGGTACGCGTTGCGTGAGAAACAAATCGTTGCATAAGCAGTAAGTGTCCTCCACCCAGCGAAGTAAAGGAATCAGAGAATAAGAAAAATGCTAAAATGGATAACAAACAGACTGGAAGCCTTTGAGAATGCTGGTTTTTTAAGCAGCTGACGATGGTTTTTCAAGAATTCGAATACGTGAAGACCTGCGACTCCAAGAACTCATAAGAAGTACTTCGCTCTATCGTTCTGAGAATGTCTACATATATATCTTTTTGGATCACCCTTATTCTGAACCTGTTTAAATGTTTAATTCTCAAGAAAAACTTGAAATTTTCAACACGAGCACGGCAACCGCGTGAATTAAAGATAACTTCGGAAACACCACTGTGGTCTGCAGGGCTGAATTTTTGTGACCGAATCGATTCTTTGTTTTAAACTGGAAAAAAAAACTATAAAAACCAATACCAGGATGCAGATTTTGGCTAGACTGACCTCGGGACACCAGGGAACCACAATAGATAAATCAGGAAAATTCCGAAATAACGGAGAATATGCTGCGGCCGGAACAACCGGAGAGGACGGGCCACCCAAGTACCCAAGTAAGTAGGAAAAAAACCTCTAAGAAAAATAGCGGAACGTTAAAACAAAAAAAGTCAAAATCACATAGAGCTAGAAAAGGGAAACTTGTGTCTTCTCAATAAGCAACTACAGATTCCAATTGCTTTTATCCTAATAAATATAATTCAAAATAAGCCAAATCGCAATGTTTGAGTCACACAGATGGCTCATATATTGTGAATGTATAATTTCTATGTTGTGCATGGGAACTTTGAACAACATCAAAGCAAGGTAACAGACCCAACTTCAAAATTTAATTTGGCTGTTTCGAGTGCTTGAAACGAAATGGTAGAATCGGTTCTCGTTCTCAATAAGAATTCATGATAAAGCAAGAAATGATAGAAATAGGAATATTCGTTGAAGAAATGGAGGTGAAATCTGATCATTTCTCATTGTTTCCGCACGCTTCTTCAACTTTGTAAGAAAGAACTAGCTGAATAGTTGACTATCTCTATGTGTGGAAATTGTCTGCTTCTTCAAGGTCAACGTAGATCTATAATAAAAGTAAGATACAACCGTAACGATGCTAAAATATTTCCAAAGCTTTCGCGCTATTGGTGTAAAAAAACAGGTTGAGAGAAAGGCAGAAGAAGGGCCTCTGGAGTGGGTTACATGTGAGCCTCAGGAAATGCTAATCGCTGGTTCGAATCTGGTCTAGCGTCCAAGTTTTGCAAAAATCTAAGCGTCATTGAGGTTGTATGTCGCATAATACCCTTCCGTGAACGAAATAATAGGAAGTAGATAAAAAGTTGACCAATATAATAAATATGTTTATTAAATCGTCATCGATCCGTTTCCATGGCTCAGAGTATTCTACATAGATGGGACTTTTGTACCGCCGGAACCACAAGCGTTAATGATGTCGAACGATCCTGAAAAGAATCCGTCAAAATTAGTTCGAGTAATCAGTTAGCTTTTCTGCCATCAATACAAAAAACCCAAAATGTCTACTTATAGAGCGCTCCTAACACAAACACGACCTCATGCATTGATTTCAACACACAAGGCGCGTGAGAAATAAGGCGGAATTTTTAGTGAATCCGATATGCAGTTAGCCGTTGGAGTCGCTTATACATTAAATCATAGTTAACGATTCGTGCTTCTTTCTAATAAAAGATGAAGTTACCAACTTTTTGACTAAAGAAAGAAATCCTTGAACAGATAGCTGAAATTATATTAATCCTTTTTCATTGAAGGTGTTTTTTCGACGTTTCGAATTTAGCGCTAACGGGGGAGTGGGGGTGTTAAAAGTTTTGCTCTATCGCTTTAATCCTAAATGTGATTTTTGTGCCCTATTTCTTTTCTTATTTAGGACATGGATATTAAGAAATCTGAAAACGATATTTAAAGCTGAAAAACACCCAGCGCAAGTGCGGTAGGCGAAACCATCAACATACTGGGGAACAACCGTGTTATTCTGGATGAAAACCTTCTTGCTCAGCTATGATTATGTTCAAAATTTGACTCTTGACGTCAAAAAGTCTCTTTGTGCCCTTTACAAAATCACAGTTTCGTCATGGTAGAGTTAGAAAGTTTGTGTCTGATTGGCAAGGTTTATAGATTCTAGTGGTTTTCGACATTAAACCAGTAAACCTCATTATGGCCTAGGCTTTGTTCGCTCAAAGTTGAAATCGGGCATTAATTTCGCATCGTATGACACCTATAGAGGTCATATCGTCGTGTAAGTGTTAATACATATATTATCCTTTACCTAAAGGAGAAAATTTTTTTTAATAAGTTGAGGCTGTCAGATGCCAACAAAAGGTGTTAGCGAAGTGAAAATGTGGAAATGTGCTTAGATCCGAAGTTGTACAGCAGCTTACCAAGCTTACAAGAGTGCACCTTTTTGAGAAAAATGGAAATCTGAGCAATCGGCAAAAGAAGAAAGAAGTAAAGTTGTTCACAACTTATTATTACCAACGATACAGCAACGTCTTAAGAAAGAGATGATTAGCGTCGCCCACCTTTTCGACCACACCACTTGTGACGGTTCCGGTTTGTGTCTTGTCGAGTTTGTCGTAGATCGGCAGTGGCTGTGCAGGTTTTGAGCGAATAGGTTGGCCATTGCCAAGTTGTAGTGAAGAAGCTGTAGTGTCGCGAGCTTTCGTCTCAACACTCACACCTGTAATTATTTTCCTTGCTAATGTTGTGATATATGGAAGATCTAATCCTTGTATCTCCACACAAAAGTAATGAATCTATATTAGTACTATTCCAGGTGTACAGAGCTACTTGTACTGTAGCCAGAAGGGATCTGAAATACATATCTGCTCATTGGTCCGATTCCACTCCATGGGTAAACGAAACCTATCGTCTGTCCTGAGTCAGCGAATTGACACAGACTTGTCTAGGAGGATAGAAATACTGATTTGAAGCATTAGTAGACTATAGAAAGTCACTGAATAGGCAATGCATGAATTCAATAACATCTACGATGCCTAAGTGAGTCATGTGCTAGACACATCCTTAGGGGATTGATCGATACCAGGCGCATTATCTTCATTTCGCCCTCACCCCTATAAATTCATAACATTCGTCAGCTTACCTCCTGTTGTGTGGTCATTTCCTAAACTGATAACGGAGTGCGACCGTACACTGTATTTACGTTGAATGTGTGGATTGGAATTGGCCGGCGAATTATGAAAACATAAAATTGGCAGTTGCGCGCAAGAAGACAACTGCACCAGCAATCTGCAACATAGTGTATCCTAGTGCCCGTCGTCAGTGAACCGTCCCAATGAACAAATGCTGCTATCAACATTGTAAACAATGAGAATTTTAAAACATATAACTAGCACAATCATGCTGTGATATTTGCAAAATTCCGGGCCTCAAATATCTGTAGTGGGGGTCGAACAAGCTATTACCCTATTCAGAGGCTAACTCGTTCACTACCAAACAATGGTGGTGCTTCGTTTCGCCTGTCTCTCAGCTAGTTCTATCGAACAGTGCCATTAGCGATCACCCGTCAACGAGATTATTCTGGGAAGCACAAATCGGCATTGAACCCAGTTAAGCTGAAGTCGTAGTCAAAATCACAGTATTAACCTTTTTTTCGAGAAGTTGTTGATCATGTAATTACCAAAGAGTTCTTCGTCTTTTTGTGTCATTGAAGCGTTTGGCCTAGTAGATTGTATATCAGTATACCCCACCAGGCTCTGAAGAAGGCGATACTGCCGAAACGTCAGCTAGCGTTGTATTGTATTGTGCTTTTTATGGAAGTAAATGTATGCGGTTCAAAAACCTCGCCATTGCTGAACAAGAAAACGACACATTCATATTAACCTTTTTGTTTACTGTCTACTACAATTTATCAAGGCAGGGTATTTTGTGGAATACAACCACAATGGTGTTGAGATGAAAATTGCTGATAACACTGGTAGATAGAAAATTGGCTAACAGAAAAGCGAAACGAAGGGCGCACATGGTGTGGTGGTGAACACGTTAGCCCACGGAAGGGGTAATAGTGCATTCGTTCCCCACCGCAGACACCTACGGTCCGGAGTTTTGCCAATATCTCAGCATCATTAGAGTTATTTCATCTTATTTGACTCGTCTTCACGTCTACCGTGCGGATCCAAGCATTTCTCACATCAATTGTCTACGAAGATCTTCCAAAATTACGTGTGGTTTCGGTTACTGGTTGAGGACTTTCATTTCATATCGAGTGTTGTAGAATGCTGATCGAGCAATCTCCCTGGAGCCCTGAGATAGCTGGGTTGGAGAGTCCCAATCGGATTGGAGAGAGTGATTTTTTTCCCAGACAAGTCTGGTACCAATTTCCCGACCCCGGAGAGATGAGAGGCCCGGTTGGCCTAGAGCGGAATCGAACCAGCACCATGCTCGTGATGATGGACATCACTACCACTACGCTATCCGTCCCTGATCACCTATGACACGTTGCAAAAAATTTCGTCCTTTTCGGATTCTCATAGTACGTATTCCCTACTTTTCCGTTTTTGGTGCTAGTTGAAGTATAAGCCTTCGTCGTATTTGTTCCTTTTTCTTGCGTCTGCCTTCCACAATGGAATCAAAATTTCTTGTAGTAGCAGTTAAGCAAAACTGATTTCCTCGACATGTCCTTGTCAAATAAATAATTGAGGAGAGCGTTCTTTCCAAGAAATGTCGCACTATCTTAAAAATGAACTTTCTACTGCAAATCACATGCTAGCTGCTACAAGAAGAATTGTCCGCCAAAAAGCAGATCCATATTGGAAGGGGAATCCACCAACATCCGTGCGGTATAAAACGGCACTGCTGAATGAAGTTCTCCATTCTAGCGATTCTCTCTTCACTGAATTCAACTCGATATAACAGCGAACACCCACATCGCAACAACGACCAGCTTGGGACCATCAACTCAGATCAATGCGGCTCTGAAGAAGCAGAAGGCGCCGGAACGTTAACCGAAGGAAAGTTTTTATATCAAACTCGTGTCAGCTCAATCATACAGAAAACTATTGAATGTTCAACTGTCCAGAAGATGCAGGTAAAACTGTTCAGAAAACATCCGTGTCATTTAAAATAATTGGTCAATAACTAGCGTTAAAGCAGAAAGCCGCACCAAAAATCACACAGCGTTTCCACTTTTACTTACTCAAATACTTGAATGGCCTGGTAATGTCGAGCTGTTCGAAACACTTCGATTAGTCTTGCTTTACTACATCTCTCACCAATCCGAATTCGTGAGTGGGTATGTCCATGGCTTAGAAAATTTCAGTTCTCACACTGACATTGTAGGGTGATTGTGATTTTTGCCAAAATTCTGAGATAGCTTTGTTAATTCATCCTCTGACGTTTATCACAGGCCATGATTGAACCCTCTGAAGCAGACGAAGGTCTCTTGGCTTACAAATAAGAATCTTTAAAGGCAGTAGCAATTCCTGCGATTAGTTCATCGACTGTTCGAAGACGATCTATCAGGCGAATTATTTCGTTTGCACACTTCCGCCCAGGAATTTAAGTAAACACACAAAAACATTACAAAAATTTTTAACTGAATATCGTTGGTCAGGATTTATGTCTCACATATGTATTGAAATTATAGATTGTCACTATTATCTACTACCACCTGTTCGCATCGACAGAATTCATCACTTTACAAATCGGTCGATGCGCGTTGAATGATGACAATAGAGTTCCTTTCTCTGTTGACCACGCTTCCAACCAACCATTTTCACTAGCTGAAACATTAAATGGTCAAAGAACTTTTGAAAAAAGGAAAAATATGAGTTTAAAAAAATTTCAGAAAAGAAAGATGGCTGAAAACATAAGAATATTTCCGACCAGAAAATGCCACTGATGCATCGGACGAAAGAGAGACGGCGTTAAGTGGCGCTAAACATACTAGCAGATGTGAAATGTCACCAGTGTATACATCCCATACGATAACCTAGAACTGATATTCCGGATTATGGTATGATTTTGTGACTTCAGGATTCCAAACGCTTGATCTAGATTACCGCAGCCGAAACATGGGTACAAAAACTGAATATGTATTCCAATTACTGTTAGCTCTAACGATATAAGTTTGAGAAATCCACACCAATGAATGCTAAGCTCAGCAGCTGGCCAGGTACCGATGGAACCACCACCGTGCTCGTGATAAACGGCAATACTGCGACTGCACTACTTTTCTAATGACTTAAAAAACTAATCTCTGATTTTTTTAAATTCATTTTTATGAGATCTAATTAGAAAATATCAGAAAATATAAAAACAATTTCCTAACCTTTTTATCCGCTGCTCCAGAGAACGCGATCCGTTCATCTTCAGCTAACGCCACACACGTTACTGTATCTTCGTGTCCAACCAAGACCTATTGAAGAATTATTGAAAATACGATGTGTCATCCGTCCATACATTCAAAACGGTAATTCTACCTGTGTAAGATATCCGGTGTCTATCTGCCACAGTTTGCATGACTGATCGCGTGAACCTTTAAAAAAATGCTGGATTTCTCTACACTCAAATGAAAGAAACGAAATCCAAACGCGAAAATCGTTTTCAACTTAAAAAAAGAAATACTCTTAATACAAACCAGTGACGACGAGAGAACCGAGCATTGTCGCACTGAAGCAGGTAATTGTCTCATTATGAGATAGTGTGCTTCTCAGCACCGGTCCCTCCTCTCCAAGAGTCCATACTTTCAGTCTGATAAAGAAATGTTAATAACATGCATACCAGCATTTAGAATGAAAATGAAGATGAAAATATTTACTCATATCTCACGAGCTTATAGTAATCTCCGAAACATCCCTCTCATGTGAAGACATCATCCCATTCAACACCCCTCTTATGACACTAGGAAAAGACTGTTCCTTGGAGTACGAGACATTCGCGTAGGATTGACATCGTCAACGCGAGTTATGCCATAAGCATAGGTTATTTTGACAAGCCAATAATCCATAAAATTCAGTGGACTGTGCAAATACTTGCAGAAGACCTTCGGAAAGATGAGGCCTTCTACAAAGTTATCATGAGAAAATCCCTTGCCAAGATTATCCTAGGATATAATGGTTCCATTCCCAGCGCAACAAATGTATTCAGTGGAACATCGTTATCGAGGTTTACGTAGTAAAGAGTTTTAAAAAAAGGTTTATAGACTTTTCGATAGTATACACATATTACCTTCCAACGGTTCACAGCCTCACCGTGCCTGCGAGGTGTTTCTCGGTGTAGGACTGCGATGTACAGCGGGGGATTCATACCACTGGCAGGGTCTCTCAAGCTGAGAAGGAGCTCAGCGCTTCCAACAAGAAGCCTAGCTAAGGGTAAACCAATACCAGGATCCACCACCGCCCTGGTATTAAAGTCTTATGGTGGTAAATCTCCGTCTGGTCCACAAGAGCTGCCACTGCCTGTGGCGGTGAAGACCTGGGGAAAACTTTGGCCAGGCTGACCTCGGGAATCCAGGCAACCACGATGGCTCAACCAGTAAATCTCCGAAAAATGGAAGTTACGCTGGGGTCTGCACAACCAGTGAGGGCGGGCTATTCAAGTGTTCAAGTACCAAGTAAATGCATTTGTTAGCACGAAAGGTATAAATCTTATGAGGCACAAACAGTTTGCGGGATCGAACAGTGGACCTCTTTAATGGAAGTACTGCCCTATTACAATGCACCATGCCAAATGACATTGATGGTTAGCAGCCAAAACTAGTTTGACACTTTAAACTCGATTAATGAAATTAAATATTTCAAAAGAATTTAAAGTTCTTCACAGAAATATTGACATATTACTTACTCTTTCGAGTTTTTTGAACTGTGTGCAACCACGAGCTTACCACTGGGAGGAGCAAAAATCGGCGGTACCACACCTTGAGACATCATCACCTGTAAAACGACCTGATAAAAAAGTCAACCATCAAATACAACTGTAAAAGAAAGAGTAAAAGCAAGATAAAAGAATGCAAATAAATTTAGTAGACGACATTGTTAACTGATGGGTCTTAATCTTTGCTAGATGGATTCCATATGTTCTTCCTGCTCAATTTTAGTCAGTGTTGATAAACAACTTACAGCAAAAAAATATTAGAAGAACTGTGCAATTTCAAATTTGTGATGATCGGCTAAGCTAGAGAGAGATTGCTTGTAGAATTTGTGAATGCTTGGTTAGGAAGACAAGAAAAAGAAAACCAAAACCATGGCGCATTCGATGAATGATAATCTCATTTTCAGTTTTCATAGGATCGCTTCAATTATTCCTTTACTTTTCTTTAGAACTTGATTCTCTTTAATGTCGTGTTAAGCATGCGCTAAAATTAGCGAGAGTTGTCCTGATGGGGCCGAACTCATCAACTCACCACGCCCTCTTCGTTGTCGAAAACTTCCCACTGACAGAGCTTCCCTTCTTTTTCACAACTCAGAACTCGAAAATCCTCCAACGGATAAATAGAGACCACTTCCGATGAGTGGAACTAAAAAGTACGGTGCAGTCTTCTCTGTTCTTTTCTGTTTTATTTCTTTCCATTTCTGGCAGATTTTGCTTAATCCTTGAATAGGTTTGAAGAGATCTCTAAAATTGCGTCATGCTAGGCACTCAAAACTTTGAACGGAATCAATCCGTTATAAAACTTTGCTATTGAGGAGCTTCTCACTGAATCTTAAAGTGAGTTTTTTTGGCAAAAAATAATGTTGGTAAACATTACGAGTTTTAAAGGACTAAAAGAAACCTATTTACCTAAAGGCATAAAAGTAGTATGAAGTCGCAGCAACACAATCGCAAATTTTAACGGTTGTTGATTCGGAAAAGGAAGGAAACCTCGCCCACTCAAGACAAACCGTCGAAAGTTCGCCGAGCATCCAGAATACCAGCGGCTCAGCGGTTCTCACGTACTGTGACCCATTTATACTACATCCGGTTAGCCCTTTGGAACGGTGGGAATTACATCGCCATCATAATTGATAATGGAATTCAGAAGAACCCGATCATCGGGCAATTTCATAGACTGCAGCGTTTATCTATCGTTTTCTGTCAAGTAGACGACAGAATTGTCAGAGAATACGATATTTTCAGAATACCTACGTTAAATGTTTGGTATAAAGTGCCTGAGGAGCATTCGAAAACGCTAATGCTGCCAACGGCATTGCCGCTAAGAAGAAAAGCTTGATTAGGAGAGAACACCAAACATGACACGTGAACACCTTTACATTGAGGAACCTGGAATTCTGAGCTTATTTTGTAGATACGGAAGAAGTAGTAAGACACAAAACAAACGAGGAACGATATTGCACCTTACCGTTGATAAGCACTGACAGACGTCTAGATCCCATATAGCCACTATACCATTATATGTACCACAAGCCGCTACCTTAAGATTAGGCCTGTTTTCCTGGGAACAAATAAGACTGCATAGAGAAGGAAATTGTCCTTGTATTACGTTTGAGATTCTGTCTTGCTTATTTTAAAGTGCTAAAAAACACTAACTGAGATAAAAGCCATCGCCGACTACAAAATTATAGAATGATCTCATTGATCAGGTTCCAGTATTGCCCTGTTCTAGCAGAGATGTCAATATCGTCACCAAAACAGGTCCGATTGATAGAGCTGACTAAATTTTGTTCTCCTAGTTCGGTAAAAATAAGAAGAGGACGCTCGATGAGACATCTTTTCATGAAACTAAGCAGTGGGCTGGGCAGAATCCGACGCTTTACTGTAGATTAACATTGCACAGGACCCAGTTTTGTATGCATTCCATTGTATTAGGTGGGTACATATGAAATGTCCGATTTCATTGTTTTAATTCTCCGCGTAACTTTTTAAATAAAAATTTTTTTATTTATGTTTAATCTAAAATTTTTAAGCATAAAATATGCCCTTTGTATGCCTAGTATTCGCTTTTCTCAAGATTTTAGGATTTGTGAATCAACGCGATATTCGTGTCCATTTTTTCTACAAGTGGAAGAGTATGGAGCAGCAGGAGCTCTCAATATCATCAAGTTTGGAGTGAAAGTAGTATTGGTGAATCAACAGTGCGAACATATAGCTTCTATGATGCTGAGATAGCTGAGAGATAGGCGAAACGAAGAACCCGCATGGTGTGGTGGTCAACGCGTTATCCCCAGAAAGGGCAATAGCGCATTCGTTCCCCACCGCAGGTACCTGCAGTCCGCAGTTTTGCAAAAATCTCAGCATCATTGAAGTTATATTTTGCAATATACCCTGCCATTAAAAAGAGTAGGCAGTAAATAAAACGGTGAAAATAAAATAATCAAAAAATATGGGTTATCGCTAAACTGGCAATGGAAGGGTAATTGAATTCACAATGTTTACTTTTTATTTTCTGCCTACTATAATTTTTACGGCACAGTATTAAGCGAAATACAACCACGGTATTGCTGAGATATTTGCAAAACTCCGGACCGCAGGTGTCTGCGGTGGGTAACGAACGCTCTATTACCCTTTCCGGTGGCTAACGAGTTCACCACCACACCATGCGGGTCCTTCGTTTCGCTTGTCTCTCATAAATACTGTGAATTCAACTACAGCTACAGCTTAACTGGGTTCAATGTCGAAGGAAGGGCAGTGTTAGTCATACTAGTAGTATTAATAGCATTAGTAGAGTTAGTATTCACGGGCGCAATGGAGGGAAAGTCGGAAGTCTCGTTCTTTTGTTTTAGATGGTTCACGTGTACACTTTCTCAGTGGCCACCTACCACATTTCCACCTTTTTCTTCGTTCCCACACAGTCGCCGTTCATTGAGGTGATTTGTTTTAAGCACGGTGACGTCCGAAAGCGTCATTCCGTATCCAATAAAACGTTTTTAACGGCGAATATTAGCTGTTTGACGTAAGCAGAAATACGTTCATGCGTCTCTTTTAGGTTGCCACCATAAATGATACTTTTATTCCCTTTAAATTCACCCTGCCTTTCATCTCATCGATTTGTCATCAAATCTCATTACGAGCCCAATCTATCCGTGCCTTGCTATCTATTGATGTTCCTTTGGATTTCAAGTCGAAATATCTCTCATATATTTGAAGGGCACGTCCTGGCATCATGGAAGTTATGTTTCGCAACATGCCCTGCCATTAAATAGAATAGGTAGTAAATAAAAAGGTTAAAAGTGCGAACACCGTTTCGGAAATTTCGATCTCAAGTTTAAGGAAGACCATGGACGTCCCGATGAACTTGTCGACGACGAATTGAAGGCACTAGTGGAAGCAAAGACGCGAACAACTACTGTTTGACAGCTTGCAGAACAGCTTGGCGTAAGCACAGCGGCCATTTCCAGTCACCTGAATCGCATAGGAAAGACTCGTTTTGAAGTGTCGTCTGGTTCTACTCTGCGTAAAAAAAACGACCTTTTCTTGATCAAATTGTGACATGCGACGAGAAGTGATTCTGTACGACTGCCCGCAACGTTCAGCTCAGTGGCTGGATTGCCAGTGGGCTCCACAGCACTTACCAAAGTCAAAATTTCACCAAAGAAGATTATGGTGACTGCTTAGTGGTCTGCAGCCGCGCTGAGATTCACCGGCGAAACGTTTACGCCAGAGAAGTATTGCCAGCATCGACGAAATGCACCGTAAACTTCAACAACAACGACCGGTATTAGTCAATAAAAATGGACCAATCCTTCTCCACGACAACGCCCGGCCTCACGTTGCAGAAGTTGAAGGAGTTGGGCTACGAAATTTTGCCTCGTCCGCCATACTCATGAGACCTCTCGCCTAGCGACTGTAACTTCTTCAAGCACTTCGACAATTTCCTGCGCAAGAAATGCTTCATCAAACACGATAACGCAAAAAAATGCCTTCAACGAATTTATCGCTTCCAGAACTCCAGCATTTTATACAACTGGAACAAATAAACTTGCTTCTTGTTGGAAAAAATGTGCTGATTCTAATGGTGTTTATTTCGATTAGCAAAATCTAGTGCGAAAAAGGTTATGGATATTTAAAGTCTACATTAAATAACGAACATTTCATATGTCACAACCTAATACTCGACATCAGTGCCATCGGTTATTGTACCATATCGAACAAAAAAAGGTCAAGTGCATTGGGCGCTTGTGAACGCTCACCTTGTTATCACTGCTAAGTGCAATGGCAGTAACGAATTCCATATGATTAGCAGCATCAGGAGCGTCGTGATTACGTTGCTGAATATTCCATATGTCTACACGAGGACCACATCCGGAGAACAGAAAATAGTTATCGGAAGAAATCTGCAACAGAACGTAAACAATGAATCAAGTGAACCATAAACTCATAAAGTTACCTTATCTACTAAGTCTAGGAAACACTATATGTTAAAATTCCCTCTTGGGACGAGTTCGTTGATAAATACATAAACCTGTTCTCATAAAGCTTACCTACTCGTTGGTTTATTTTCGGTTACAATCAACGTCTATGCAAATCTTCAAGCTTCAAAGGGCTTAACTGGATCACGTGCATTTATTTCGGCGTAAATGACAATGTATGAGCATATACATAGTTTGGTCTGTTTTTAGGGATCCACTAGCCTGAATGGAAAATATGATGATAATGTTGTCGTTCCTTTGAACAGTTCACCACCTTATCGTGGCTGTGAGGTCTTCCGAGGTGTCGGACTACAATGTACAGCGGAGAATTCATCCCCTAGCAGGGTTTTCCAACCTGAGGAGTCTGATGCTTACATTTGAAATTCTAGCTAAAAATAAGCCAATACCAGAAATCACCACCTTGCTGGTATCAAACTAGTCCCATGGTGGCGAATCTCCCTTTGATCCACAAGGGCTGCCAATACCTGTGGTGGCGACAACCTGAGGAAGGCATCGGCTAGGCTGACCTCAGAACTCTAGGGAACCACTGGCTAAACCAAGAAGTGTAAATTTAGCTGGCGCCTGCACAACCAGTGAATACGGGGCATCCAACGATCCAAGGAAGTATCCAAGTTGTCATTCACTGATCTTTCCTATCAATTAAGAGTAAAATCTTGTTTACTTTAGACACAGACAAGCAGGCAATAGCTTTCAGCTCCACAGAGATTTTTCCTTGCAACAGAACAGTCGAAAGATATAGTTTTTTAATGACATTAGTGCTGTCTATAGCTTAAAATAGTATTCGTAAGGCGCTGGCATTTGTTACCTGACAACACAAAAGCAACAAATCCGCGTTAGTTCTGAAGACATGTTCACCAACAGGTAGTTCCCCTTAGAGTAGACATTGACGTATATCCTATGCACTTTACATTTACTTAGAACCTTTTTAAACAACTACGTGCTACACTCGTATTTTGGCCGCAGTACAGAAAAACACATAATAAAGAATAAAAGGTAAAACCTTGATGTTGTAAACAGCAAATGGTAGTAGACAATCTAGAACATCGACGATTTTGCCATTATGTATATCGTAGCAGTAGATTTTCGTCTTGGTAGCGGCAAACAGTTGGCAGTCATCTTGAGCACAAGCCAACGCATTGACCTGAGAGAAAAAGCTACCAGTATTTGGAAGCGAGACTCGTACAGGAATATTTCAAGCATTTTGTTTTTGTTCATTGGAAAATTCCTGGAAAATAACTAAAACGACCATGTCATAGAAAACAAGCGACAACCAAAAAGCGAAGAAAGAAAGCTGGCCGCACCGCGGTTGCTCAGTGTGCAGTCAAAGAAGAGGCATGCAGAGCAATGGTTAGAGGCGTCTTGCAACACAAATTTGGTCTTTGGTTTTGCCCAACACATAGGAAAAAACAAGCCCTCCACTCTCTCAGAGTCGGAAAATTGACCCACAGGTTGCTTGTGCGGATAGAAATACTGATTCGACAGATCGATAGACCTCCATAATTCATTGAATGGGCTAAATATGTATTAAATTACTTCAGCGGTGGTTAATGAAGTTGAAAGCATGGACCTTCCCTAAGGGACTGAAAGCTTTATCCTTTACCAATGTAAGCAAGATAAAATACTTTTTGCTAAAGTTCAGAAGCCATGCAGAGACTTAGTTTAACTTTTCTACTTTTTTTTTTTTTAAATAGTGACCTAAGTATGACAATGACCGAGCAATGTATAACATTTTTTTTAACAACTAGAACAACCAGATCCGATACTTTAAGCTCACCCGCCCTTCGTGGCCTATTAGTTCATGAAGTTCATGACCAGCTACTGTCGAGAATACCCGCAGCGTTTCATCCTCACAAGCGACCACAACGAACGCATCATTTCTTAAGAACGAGCATTATTAAATAGTCGACCTGGAAAAACCTCATAGACTGATGGATGGACTCACGATGTTAATGAAATGCAACTAACAGGAGCCATCAGACCTCCCATTCGTGATATACAACAACCCGTTTCCAAACTCCACATTTGTACGATGAAATCACCAGATCCTTAAAAATTGTTAACGTAAGAGAGTTCCGGAAACGTTTCTGATGTAATTGGAATGAGTTCTGGCTTGCTTTCAGATTTTGTTTTCCCAGAATAGAACTTCGAACTATGTGATGATTCCCCGACTGTTAAAATCGAGCAGATGAAAGTAAACAGCTCAAAAGCATTTTATTCATTTTTAGAATCCTTTATTATAAAAGAACTTTTCTCTTTGAAGCAATCGTGAACACTTTGTCAATTCTTGCCTAACCTAGGAAGAAGAAAAACTATGTCAGCTCTGAAAAGATGTCATTTCTAGAAAGAAATAGGAACCCACTCCAGAAGAATATACTGGAAAGCGAAGGACACCTTTAAGAAGAAGAAGATGAAAAGTAAGCATACTGGAGGAAAAAACATCTAAGATGGAAAACTTGGACGAAAATAAACCTGTGATGAGAAATTCATTGTTGACAGTGAGCTGTAATGACACAACACTACCAGTGTGTTCCATGAATGACCGCAGGACTTCGCCACTTTCAACATCGATGACCTAAATACTAAAAAATTTGATTAAAAGTAGCGAAATAACCATTCCATAAAAAATAGGATCCGTTGAAGAAAACAACTTAAGCAGAAGAGCTATCGTACCAACTCGTTAATATCAACAGCGGGTCCACATTTAAATCGTTCGCCGCCTTTATCTATTTTTGTTGTTTTTTGACTAATTAACTGGGTAACTGATCACTGAAAACGGTGGTAAATAGTTAATAATTGGGTCGTCAAAGAGACCGGCTACATCTGCGTGAACGGTTGATTTGTTGAATCAATGAGAGTTTCGGCGATGTCGATGATAAGCCTTAGTCAAGTAAGAAAAACCCTTAGGCAAATTGCCGAAAACAATGAATGCTGCTATCAACAGTTTTGGTAGCCTCAGATAGCGTCCAGTTATTTTTTAAACGCAGCATATACAAAATCAACAGAAAAAGAAAAAATAAATAGATACAGAGCCAATTAATTTCAACCCATTATGTACTACATAGATTCATTCGGTTACATGCAGCTGAAATAGAGGCTGAACGGACTTCGCAAAATCGGATTAGATTCTGATTGGTCGTTTCGTTTGATTACATAGATAAGTTCCTAATAACGAACATCATAACGTAACTAACCTTAGCTGAAGAATCCGACGATCCTGTAACTAAAAAGGAATTGTCACTGGCCAGAACGCTACAGGTGACTTTGTGGGTGTGCACTGCCAGTACTTTAGTACATTCACCCTAAAGCGAATGATGAGAGAGTGAAGGACTAAGTTCAAGCAATCAGCTATGGTTAAACTTAAACGTCAACCGTTAAACCTTCTTTTTCATAACAAAACTCCTTTCGTGCGGTAGTTGACCAGCCAACAATAAAGAAAGAAGATTTTTCAATTTTTAATTTCTCTCTCAAATTAGTGACTTCTAGTACCCTTAACGATAATTTCTAGCGGTAAAATATTTTTTGTCCACTAATTTCAGCAAATCTTTTCCAAAGACCTTTCAACATCTTAGTGGAAAAAGGGAATCGAAAAGGCGACACCGTATCGCCAAGGCTTCTTGGTGTCGCACTGCGGTGGACAATGAAGTCACTCGATTGGGATAAGAAAGGCATACGTATTGATGGAAAATTCCTTTCAAATCTTCATTACACCGACAAGTCGTCGTTTTCTCAGAAAATACCAACAAAGCAGAGATGATGATCAATGAAGTCAACGAAGAAGAAAAAGAACAGAACTATGAACGAGTCGGAAAAGACCCATTTCATGAAAAAGCCATTGTGAGAAGGCGAACAGATCAAACTGGTTTCTTCTCGGATTGTAGAGGCAACCTCTTGCGTGAACCTTGCCGTTCAAAGAATATACAGATCAACATAAAGGAGGAATTAGACAGAAGGAGAGCAGCTCGGGCTGCATTCGAGTCACTCAAAAAAGTTTCGAATCAATTAATGGGCCCAAAACTCTGCGCTCACCTCTTCCATTGAGAAGTCCTCGCAGCACTTTGTTATACAGCAGAGATGTGGGATAATACCCCAACCACCTCAAGAATACTCCGCACTACTCACAGAGCGCTTGAACGATGTTTTCTGAAGTATAGCAGGCATACTCAACACCTTGCCGGAATGCGAAGCTCTCATTTTCAAAATCTATCTCATCTTTGAGACGCAGGCGAACAAATTTCGATGGCGAAACATAGATAGGCTGGTCGCATAATGAAAAGAACAAGCACAGATTAACGAAAAAAACTGCAGAGTGGCGTTCATGAGGATGAAGGCGTCCTCTATGACGACTACCGACACTTTGCGCGGACGTGTTCGTAACTAAAGTCAATCGGCTGTACTCGCAGCTGCAGTTGTTTTACAGACGACGATAAGAGACTCGATCCACCACGACGCTCGAATCAAACCACCACCATGGGCGAACAATTGCGAGGCAAAGAAGCGAATGGAAAATACGCTGGTGTCCGCACAACTCGTGAAAATGGGTCGTCCAAGTAAGTGATTTCAGCAAACGTTCAGTGTAAAAAAAACTTCGAATTTAATCATTCTTTAATTGTGTTTTATTTATGCCTTTGTATAGTAAAGTTCCCAAATGAGTAAATTGATTTTGAATTTGACTCACATTTATGAGGTTCCAAATCCGAACAGTTTTATCTGCCGAGGTACTCACGAAAAATGTGCCATTGGTGCTACATGACAATGATGTAACTGCTCCAGTGTGCCCTGAGTTTTGATACTGAATGAAGTTCAAGCCTATGTCGAAGACGGTGCTAAGTGTATTTATAAGCAACACAATAAACAAATTGATTTGTTAGCGTTACGTTACGTTGTGCGTGTCGCGTGGCGCAGTGGTTGGAAGCGTCACTGCGACACACAAGTGGAATCCATAACCGCGCCTATGGCTCACCAAGCCCTCCATCCTTCCGGAGTCGGCACATTGGTACCAGACTTGTCTGGAAGGACAGCAGCACTGGCTCGATACATCGGTAAGCCACCGCGAGTCATTGTAAAGGTCAAATATGCATGCAATCACCTTCAAACGATACTCGGTGAAACCGAATGCATGGCGCATCCCTCAGGGATTGAAGAGCGCCGAGAGCTTTATCCTTTTATTCTTACGTTATATTACGTTAAGCTAGCTGAAATAAATCTATCTATCTACCTTGTGTAAGCCCAGCAGATTCAACGCATGTTGATTATTTTGCCACAGAGGTTAAATGACGATCAGTTTGAAAATTGCTTTGCTATTCGCTTCGTACAAGTTAACATCATACCGACTACTGAAGGGTGGATTATCCGTTGAAAAACAAACTATTATCAGCGGTTAGTCATATCAACAACAACCCCCATGTATAAAAGAGCGCTGCCGGGTGAGTATGGCTCATTCATGCGGCGTTCACTGAAGAAAATCCCGTGTCGGTACGACAACAAAGAGGCCTCATCGAGATAACGAACAATTGTGGACCACCGATACGGATCATTGGCTCTGATGAAGATGAAGACGTCGAAACGTTAGCCGAAATAAATACATCTATCAACCTCATGTGTTCGTGTTTGTGCTCAAAAGTTTAAATATATATTAAATTAATTCGTTTTTAGTAAGCAGGCACGAAGGTGCCAACGAAGTAATCTTTCCACAATGGCGAACACTTCGGCGCATCTCGTCTTCTGAAGAGCCTCGCACGGGCCATAATAGCACACGAGTTGTCAACTAAGTATTTTCATAACCCTGACATAAAACACAAAACCTGGGTATCAGTCATATGGTAATCAATTTCTTTAAAACATTTGCTGTTTCTATTACTTGTCTCTTGTTTTATTCCTAGAGCCTTCTATTCCTTGAAGAAGAAGAAATTCGCAAAAACCTTAGCTATTGTAGAATAAACATTGTATTGACAACTTCGTGAGCGGAAAAGTAACTTGTTAATCAAAGCCAAGGTTAATATGAAACTGATCTCAGAGACTGCCATACCAGAAAGCCTGTCAGGAAAGAGGAACATTTGAAAAAAACGCAAAAGGGCAAATCAACATAGTCATAATCGCGAGTAGTTCGTGTGGTTTTAATACAGACAGCTGAATGTACTCATTCGTGGAAAACTTAGCGTGCCTCCTCCAAGTTGAAGACATAAAGGCGGTTTGCAGGCAAGGAATAGGAAATTTGTCAGTGCTACCAATCTAGTGTTGTTTCAACTGGTTTATTCAGTTTGACAATTTCTTGTGATCTTTTCCTCTTCATTGTGAAATTTTACTTTTTATAAAGCTTGAAAAGATACAGTTTGTGAAGTAGGTTCGATTTTTACAATGAGGCACATGAAACGTATCGGTTAGAGGAACCACACGATGCACGCAGTCCTTGGGTCGCTTTGACGCCTCAAGCTAACAAATTCCTTCCTCCTTCCGGGGTCGGAAAAGCGGAGCCAGGCTTGTCCACGAAGGTTGAAAGCACTGGCTTCAAAAACCAGCAGGCTTTGATGAGCCATTATTTGGTCACAATATGCATTCAACGACTAGGATGCTTGATGAAGTCGAAAGCTTGATACCAACACTCAGGAATTGATCACAGCCAATTGCTTTGCATATTTTGCCGTTTGTGTTTAATTTCATTACACAGAAGGCAACAAAAAAATCAATTAAAAAACGGGAAATCTAGCATATATGTACCGTTGAAGGTTGTCATAAGTGCATGGGCAGCAACGTGGTACATGTATATCACACCAACAGCCAATTGATTTCCGGAGATGAGAACGTGCTGATGATTGAATGTGGGCGTCAGTACTGTCTGGCCAGCCTTCCAGTCCTAAAACGACATTATTAAACTATGAAAGAATAAGCATACGATCCAACGACTTTCATTCAATGTCTTTAAAAAACCGGTAGACCGTAAAACAACTCTTACTTTAATTGTGAATGTCCGACATCTTTTCATGACTGGCGGCGCGATCCAACATGTTAATGGTACAAGCAATGGCTGACGCGAATAGTTGTCAACCCAGGTCATCGCTTGTTCTACCAGTGTGTTCAGAAAATGGCTATTTTCCGCTGAAATATGTCTTTCTAACAGGAAAAAAAAACATGCACACACAAGTACATCACAATGACAGCTGTTCTTAGTAAATGTTGGCCAGAGTGACATCAGACAAACTCATAACCAACCAATACGTTTCGACTATAGGTTTGACTATGCCGAATTTTGTCATCAGTGGAATTCTGCGGTAATGGTAATGCTGATGACAAATTCACCTCTGGTGTAACGAAGTCTTCCAATCACTTCGGCAGCCAACTGTTCACGATCTTTTAACACTGTTGGTATCGCAGGAATCAACACTTGCTCGCACAGTACTAAAATTGAACAAATACGATAATAGCAATATTGATACTAGTAGTATAAGCACTAGCGCGCGTGTAACACAGTGGTTAACGGTGCCCTGCAATATGCACTAGATCGTTCCAGCGCACCAGGCTTACCAAACCCTCCAGCCTTCCGCGGTCGGCAAATTGCTACCACACCTTCTGGGAGAATGACATCACAGACTCGATCCATCGGTAGCCATCGAAAATCACTGTCTGAGCCAGATATGCATTCAGTCACCTCAAACAATACTTTTGAAACAGAAAACATGGGGTATATCACAGGGATTAATCAACGCTGAGAACTTTATCCTTTACTTCTTTTAGTATTACTGTGTTATTCATTAATGAGCGCTATAATTTTAATGAACTTCCAGAAGCTGTTTAAGCAGATATTCAGACCAATTAATTTTCCCGTTCGTTTATAATAATTCGTTGACTAAATAGTTATTTAAGAGTTATTTAGGAGCGGATAGCACAATGGTAGTGAAACCGAGCATCGCAAGCACGGTGCTGGTTGGATTCCGCTCCGATCTCACTAAATCTCATCTCTCCGGGGTAGGAAACTTGGTACCAGACTTGTCCGGGAAAAAACTCTCTCTTCAATCCAATTGGGAACGCTCTAGCCCGGCTATCCCAAGACTCCAGGAAGAATCGACACGACCAGCATTCAACGACATTCAAAATGAAAGAAAAATTCTCAAGCAGCAGTGGAAGCCGCACACACAAGCTGGAAGATCTTCATGGACAAGGCACGAGGAAGTGAATCGAATGTGAGAAGTGGTGCGATCCGCACAGTAAATGTGAAAGATGGGTCGCACGGAGCAAATTTAAAGAAGAGTTCTTTAGAGTGGGTTTATTTTAATGAAATGAGAGCCCACAAGAAAACTTTGTTTATTTCTCATTTTCTTATATGTGCTTCTTCTTTGAAAGATTTAAGAACTCTTTAAATAAAAAATAAACCATTAAGGGGTTCACAATATGCAACTTTTCTTATTTAGTGCACAACATTTTTTCGTGGCAAGGTATTATGTGAAAAAAGCAAGAAGGACAAAGCGCTCTGCGTTGATCAAACCATGAGAGATGCGCCATGCATTCGACTTCATCAAGCATCGGCCGAGATGATTGAATGCATATCTGGCCTATGCAATAACTTGCGGTGAAGTGCTGATGTATCGAATCATGCTTCTGTCCACCCAGTAGTTCTCATACCAATTTCTGACCACAGAGGAATCGAAGGCTTGGTGAACTAGGGCGCGGGATCGACCCCATGTGTATTTCAGGGCGCATCAAACCAATACGCTTCTCTGTTATGTGAAATACGACTGCAACAATGGTACTAAGAAATATGTAAAATTCGGACTCGAGACTAGATAGGAAATCACGACTATTCTTTCCCAGTCTTACATGTTACCGACTGCATAATTGATGCCTTTGCTTCACCTATTTCATGGGTTGTTGTTTGTTATTAAGTGATACAATACTAATAATAAGGAGACAATTCGAATTGTGAAACACTCCTGGTAGCATTGATTTCGTTTCACTTACTAGTCGCTCTAGGTGGTCGTTGTGAGCTTAAACGACTGAATACGGTGTCTACTATGCACCTGACGGCGACAGTTAGCGAGACCATAGAGCCCATCGTAGCCTATCATACCTCACTCACTGTTTTTCAATAGAAATACATTACCTTGCAGATCATGATGTAGTATTTGCATAGCACATTCCTCATACATCGATAGCAGATGTACCATACCATATGTACGTACGGTACTCTCAATGAACTCAAATTGACACAATGCCATTTCCTTCAAGGCGTCCATATTACCTCAAGAATAATACGCTTAAACACCTGAATGCTTAAACAGGAAATAATCCGTTTGTCCTTGTAGCTTTAAAATTAGCAGAAAGACTACTTTCACTTTTGACAAATTTCTAATGAAGTAACTCCGTGATAAAATAACGACGAGTGGACATATTAGAGGACTAGTTCCATTCCAAGTATTAGTTGTAACAAGAACTTTTTTTTGTTCCACTAAGAAAGCCCGCAAACTACAACATGGTGCTTGCTCGGTTGTCAAAAATATACCTTAGCGTTTAAGAAATCGAGGGAAAACATGTGCAAGTTGTAAATTCTCGGGTTCGAATTCCATTAACGCTATTTTTGACGCATTCCAAGCAATGGATTCTTTTCGAATAACGTCGACAATTTCTTAATGACACAGGACTTTAAAAAGTTGCTAAGAAGAAAACTTATGTGAACATTAGAATTGTGGATCGCCTTTTCAAGGGTTTAAAAAAGAAAGAAAGAAAAATGTCAGCATTATAAAATCTTTCAAGGAAAGCGCAGCAATCATATACAGCAACGATGACCCAGTTGTACCACAGACCCAGTTGTTCTTCTGCAGTATATACCCAATCGTTCCTTTTCTTCTTCAAAATATGCACTTCGTAAAGATAACAAAAAAGCGATCCATCGAGCGTGCCACTCGCTCCGTCGTCCAAAGGTGTAGCGCTGGTGTGCCACTAAGGTGCTCAAGGATGCTGACCTGCTCAGGATGAGGCAGTGTAAAAACCGCCCCTCTGGAGATAATCTACAGCGTACACTTCTTTCTGACATCTTCAGATTTCCAGTATTTAGCGATAGATAGTCGACCCGAAAACGAAGATGATGACGACCAACCGAAAGTTATGCGGAAAGTTCACATCGACTTAGTGATTAGTCCACCGATACGCCTCTATCACTGTTCCAAAGAGAAATTGGATTTATATCATGCCACCGTTTATTTCAGAGAGGATTGACCGTTGTAAAAACTGGAAGTTTCTCAATACTACCTATGACAACTCTCAAATTCGAAAGGAACTAGATAGAGAAAAACACACTTATAAAAATGTTCTGCAAGCTTATCTTGCTAAATTTAAGAGTAAAAAGCTAAAATTGGAGTTAAAAACTATCTTTGAAAGTTTCGCTAGTCACTAAAAACTTAAACGAAGTACCTGTATGAAGTAAGTGAAACCATAAATTATGTATTCGTCTAATATTACTCGAATCATTTTCTCTGTTAAGATGCTGGGGAAAAACCTAAAACGAATAATATGCAACATACCAAACCACGAGTAAAACATAATGTTTAGTAAAACACAACCACAAGAATGCGAGCTATGTGAAAAACTAGGAACATCAGATGAGCTTCGAACCCGTGAACCACTCATACCGGTGCCGGTGCTCACATACTACCCACCACACCAACCGAGGCCCTTGTATTAGCAGTCGCCCGTCAACGGGAATCGTCTGCGGAGCACAAATCGGCATTGAACTCAGTTAAGCTGAAGCGACAGTCAAAATTGCAATCGTTACAATAATAACCACTGGTAACCGCGCGTTCTAAATCCAGCTGAGGTTTTGAGTTTTGCTCGTACTCAGTAACCCTGTGGTTGCATTTCGAATAGTATCCTGCAGTGAAAAAATGAATAGGCAGTAAATGAAAGTTGATGTAACATGTTTAGTGCATATACATCTTAGCAGTGAAAAATCGCTTGGAGCAATAAACATTTCAAAAAAATCCTAACCTTCTTATTTACTCTTTTTAACTGCAGGGTATTCTGCGAAATATAACTACTATAATGCTGAGATATTTGCAAAACTCCGGACCGCAGATATCTGCGGTGGAGAACGAGCGCGCTATTGTCCTTTCCGGGGAGTAACGCGTTCACCACCACACCATGCGGTTCCTTCGTTCCGCCTGTCTCTCAGCTAGTTCTATCGATCTTTTACCATCAGCAATCACCCGTCAACGGGATTGATCTGAGGAGCCCAAATCGGCATTGAACCCAGTTAAGCTGAGGCTATAGTTATAATCACAATCTTAAACGAAAGACCTGGATGGTGTGGTAGTGAACGCGTTACTCCCCGGAAAGGACAATAGCGCGCTCGTTCTCCACCGCAGACATCTGCGGTCCGGAGTTTTGCAAATATCTCAGCATTATAGTAGTTATATTTCAAAAAAAGTTAGTGGATAATTTAAGGAAAGAAGAAGAGAATATTCAGAATAGAAAACCTGATAGATGATCGAATTTCGTTGGGACAAGCTCTCTGCAAACATGGGTACACACCCAAAATAGTCGGCAATTTCGCTATGAGCGGTTTTCAGCGAAAGTAAATTCGAGAAATACCTAGAATGAACAAACCGCTTTTATTATAATCTACCAGCATGGACAAAAGAAGCTTCATGTTAAACCAGATTTATAGTCGAAATTTCTTTCCTTGCGTGTTTGTTTGTTTGTTTGCTTGCTTGTTTGTGTGTATGCATGTGTTTGAGTGCGCGTATTTATGTGTATGTGTCGATGTGGCTTTCGCAAAAAATCCATTTTTAGTAGACAAGACTGACTGTTCACCATTGACGAACAATGCAGTCGTATACAAACAATGCTTATTGATTAGTTATGCAACTTGTCCAGCGCAAGCAACACGTCAAATGTCCGGTTGCACAAACTGTGATCGGTTCGAAAATTTCAGAATTAATTTACAAGGGCGCGTGTGGAGCAGCGGTTGGAGGCGCCACTGCGACACAGACGTGGAATCGATCCCCGCGCCATGGCCTACCAAGCCTTGCATCCCTCCGAGGTCGGCAATTTGCTACCAGACTTGTCTGGGAGGATAGCAGCACTGGCTCGACATATCAGTAGGCCAC